ATCACCAGGTGATACAGGCTGAGTCGATTCAGCAACCGATGGGATATCAGTTGCTGTAGTTTCTGCTTCGGCGTCCGCACAGAGACGTGCAGACGCGCTCTCGGCGGCCTTTCTCGCGCATCGCATGGGCTTGTTTACCATGCGATGAGATGTTGGAAAGTGGACGCGGACCAACAAGTGCAAACCCCGTCCCAAATGATTTGGGACGAGTATCCATTTAGTCAATCAGTCACTAAAGTGACTGATGGTTAGGGGGGGTGATGTAACGGGGTGAATCGTTACATAACAATTTATAAGAAATTGTTAATAGAATATAACTATAAGAGTTATATTCTCAGAATATTGTCATAAGGACAATATTCTGTAGCACTTCCAAGTAGTCCCTAATTGGTTGATATAGGCCATTATATCAACCAACGAAGACGCGCCACGACAGACGCACGCAATGAGTGGTGAGCAGATAACTGATTTATACATTTGTATTTAGACATAGTTAGATGAAGATAAATAGTGATTTATTGCAGACATTAACTATTATAAATACAGTTCTACTTTTTACTCTAACCAAGTACTCGCTTCTTCTTACCGTCTTCCTCTGCACGTACGAGTGTACGTGAAGTTACGAGGCACCGCCTTATTCTGTTATCAGAATAAGTAGCTTGTACTGTCACCAGTACAAGCTTCAGGGTGCCCCGTTACAATTCCAGAAAACAGGTAACCAGAAAACAGGTTTCGTGGCGTAAAATGCTATATTGGGGAATAAGAATACGGGGGGTCATGACACACGATGAAATCTTTTGTGCAAAGCACGCGTCAGGCTACTTTGCGAGCGTTTTTCTTACTCAACGCTCATGCATGCGTAAATAACACAATTATTGAGTGGTAGATTGTACATTCTTCGAATTCATCTAATGCTGCTACTACTCCAGCGCAAACATAGCTTGAGATAACATGCTTGTAGAGCAATCGAAATGGAAGCATGGCCAAGGAAAAGCGTGTACACTCAGGCTCCACAACGACAGTGAACAGCGCTTATTCACAAGTTCTTCCTGATGTTCTCCAGAACAACATGAGTGGTTGCTTCATGTACAGTGAGCTTGACCTGGCCGGTTTTTATTACCTCAAGCTCATTCATTTGAGCGACATAACTCTCACAGTGACTAGAAATCCGAGTGGTTTTCTTTGGTAGTGTCTGTTCATGCCTCAGGGGTTATCTAATGCCCCGGCAAATGTTTATTTTTTGTGACAAAACTGTTTTTTTCTCACCTCAAATAAGCCCAGATATAATTTGATGACTTATTGTCCATAGGCGAGCAGAACACGGGAATGCAGATGTGGAAAATAACATCAATCACTTGCAGTTACAAGCTTGATGTTGATTCTTTACAGTTCATCTTTGGTGCGTTAGAAGTGCCCTTTTTGTGGCACTTTATACGTGGTCTAGGGGATGACCCTGCAAGGTTAATACCATAATTGATTGATCGGTTCCTAGGAGCCAAAAGGATTTGAGTAAGTGGATTCTCCTTGCAAAATACCTGCACAAGTACAGTGCAAATTATGCTGATATCGCAAGGTCATTGTTTGATCTTTCGAAAAAGGATAAAGACTGGTGCCGGAGCAGCGGCGAAAATGAGGATTTTGCGGCTGTAAGGAGGGTCTCCTCCCTGTACCTATTTCGGATCTGCCTGATTTGGAGAGGCTTCTAACCGACTTCTTTGATGCTACGTATATTTTTCATCGGGAGCACTCTGTTGTAAACAGATAAAAAATCACGTGATCGTATCATCGCACTTGAATATTTCCAGCGTAAATTAGCTGAAAAGAATTATTCAATGCATGAAAAGGAGTTACTTAATATAGAGTATGCTCAACTCAAATTCAGATTACATCTGCTGGGCTTAAGACATTCGTGATCTTTATCGATCATGCTTTACTACTCACAACGATGCATTCACCTCAACTCTCACAGATAATGGCATGTGGATGTCATCACTTGTGGAATACTAGTTCGAGGTGAAAAACAAGACGGAAAACAGAGCGTTTTAGCGGATGCGCAATCACGCAGACCTGTAAAAGATCGTTCATGTTGCATCATAATCGTCCTTTGTTTCCGACTCAATTTGTGTGGATTATGCTCGTGATAACCACTGTGTATCTTTGCAATGTGTCTTTGGTAGCAAACATCTCAAAGACCTGGGCTCATATTTGCGTACGTGAATTCACCTAAATAGCACCAATCAGGGTATGTTGTGCTGTCGTACATATACTGAGGATAATCCGCATGTTGTTGTTCCACATGACAAGAAGTTGAAGTATCGCATTTATATGAGGCACATGATGCTACTATGAGCGGTCATCTTGGTCGCGAAAAGACCTACCACTTGGTGTGTCAAAGCTGTTGGTTCACCACACTCTACGATTGGGTGAGTATCAGGTGAGCACGTGCGAATTAAAACGTGCCAACTGTCTAACTATCTCACATGCAGATGTGCCACTGGCGAGTCTAAATGTACCGTAGGAGTGTTCGAAATTCATAATCATGGATCCTGTTTTCGTCTTCCTAATGCTTCAGTTGGTAACGCTGGCAACGCTGGTTATGTGACCTTTGCTGATTGTTTAAGCAAGATGGCTGAGTCGGTGGATTTTTTGCAATCGATTAATGGTGAAGATTCATCTTAGCTGCTGATCGATAAGTGTTTCTCCACTATCTTGCCTGTGGCATTATTCTTGATTGCGACCCTTGTTAGCGGGAAATTTTGAACATTCGTCTTCTAAGTGTTTAACACTCGTTTAAAAAATGTCCACAAATCATCCGCATAATGATAGTTTAAATTGAGCGCGCAATTGCGTTATCGAAGACATTCCACTTAGAGTATGCGTTGATGAGCCCCAGATTTGTACCTCTACGCCATCTGCAGTTGATTTTGCTTTAAAAAAGACTCTGTGCACGCCTCTACAGGCTATCACCTTACATGTAAGCAGACCCACACGCCCGCGTGTACCGTTATAATATCCCGCATCTTGTTCTTCGGCGTGTTGGGGGATACTTGCCGATCAAATTGCTCATTTCAGCCTGACAGTTATTTAGAAGCAGGTGATTGCGTTCCTGCTTACGCCCTAATCTTATAAGACACGTCCGTGGTGCGAAGGATGAAGGCCAAGATTAACAAAAGAAAATGTGGATGCTATAAAGGAAGAGGGTGTATCAATGGCTATGAGGTCGGAGACCTAGTTGCAATCCACGCCAAAAACCTACCCACAAGCGTAGTATCTACAGTTTTGAAGACAAATCTATGTCCACGCTTCATCGTAAAATTCACGATCATCACCAAGAAAGGCCTGGTCTGTACGCTAAACTTGCCTTGCAAACTGCGTACATATCCTGGGTTTCACGTCAGCAACCTTAAGCCGTGTCAGAAGCCGAATCTTAAAAATGCGGAAGCACTTGCGCCAGAACGCCTTAAAAGCTCTCTGAATCGGAGTAGTAATCTCACAAAGGCGCTTCACTTCATGGAATCTCGCGTTGTCCGTGTATACAGTACTGAATTAGTACAGACCTGAAAAACATCATACTTACCCGTTGGTGACTGCTGTTGCATAGCATTTTGCATCTTATTTCAGCTCTTCTAACTTGATCACATGTATCAAGGGCGAGCTCCAGAGCTTGCTCCTCTGTAGTGATTTTTTCGCTTGCATATGGTATAGATTACTGTTAATGCAACCCACTTATTGCTAAAATACCCCAAATCCCACACACGTACTACATCACAGCATTTTTGCACGACGAATATTGCGCCTACCTACCTCTGCACGACCACTATCGCACAACAATCTGCATCTGTCGTACAAACGGTAAGTGTTTTCACCAGGTTATCTCGTGTCTACGAAATGGCCACACCGTCGGTCAAAAAGCAGCATTGAGCACGCAAAACATCCCTTAGTCCTCGTCACCCGCTATAGGAGCAGAATTTATATCGATATCAGTAAGCACAAGGTAACAAAAATTGCGAAGAAAACAAATCTTGCGCGTTTGTAGCATCTTGCAGTCAACATTACGGTGTCAGCTCGTCGAATACTGTTGTAAGAATTCAAATATGATCTACATTGCTCGTTCGGGTCTAAAGGAGGTGGACCGGATACAATATACGGGTTGAGACATCTGTAAAAGAGACCTTACACACAAAATCGGACGATAGGATCGGATGCATGTGGGGCAGCTGGACAATCATTTTATTGTTTGACCGACAACACCTTAGTTTTAACGCATATACAGGATAGTCTCGATCAAAAATATATCTGTATAGTACATTTGTCGTTCTTAGCGGTTAATTTTACTGCGTATGTATCCGACTACGTTTTGTGAAGGTTAACTTTTGTATTATTCATTTTTGTGCTTTTCTCGACTGAAGCATAGCTGTTGTCATTTCTTAAACAACAAATAGCCATTTAGATGTCTCCGACATGTATTGACGAGTGCTTCGTGTTCGTTTATAAATATGTTTACGAAAGCAAAAAGCTCCATTCCTCTATTGTGTGCTAAAACAAGTTTTTGTGGTAAGTCACTTACCATTTGTACGACAGATGCAGATTGTTGTGCGATATTAGTCGTACATAAGTAGGCACGATGTCCGTCGTACAAAACATTTTGTGGTGTAGTACGGGTGTGGTGTATGGGTGTATTCAACAATGCCCTTGATATACAGAGTAAGTGCGGCGCCATTGATAGATTCAACCAGTTCGACTGGGTGTGCACGTAGTAGAGAGTTTGTACGTAAATATGAATCTCCTTCACTTACGGTGCGGAATCAATACCAACGAATTTAAAACTGCACGAAGGTCTTGAAAAGGCATAACGAAAATAAAGAAATAGCCAGCAGTGGCACAAAGTTTACCGATGTGAACCATGAGACTGCACGACTCTTTTTGTATCGAATGTACGAATAGATCACATACCTTGTGCGAAGCTGAGTGTCTGCTCTCGCTAAATAAGTCCGGTTCAACTAGCCGGCGATTGTGCAGTCTTGACGAAACGAGTTCCGAGGGCGGTTCTGAACTCCTTTGCAGATGGCGATATGCTGCTGCACACCCGAAGGCGCAAACTTCCGACGACAACATGGACACAGTACGAGCGTGGCTTTGTGCTCGATGTAGCTTTGTTGCAGTGTGTGGTCTTTCAGCTTGTGCATACTGGATGTCATCGACCCCGTAGATTTCAGTGGCGTTTCGACATTGCCACTCCTTCGACTTTGAGGAGAAACTTGATACGATGAAGCTCCACGTCCCCATGAGCCTTTTCTACCGAATACCCGCGGGCAGACAGCCTCGTGCTTGGAAAGCCGGCCTTCGGCAAAGCTTCGATTACAATACCGACACGTCTCTGTTTTCGGTGTTACTGGCATTCCCACGAAAGTGCCGCGTGTAGGTTGATCGCTTTTTCTCTTGACATCACTCTCTTTCTTCCGTTCGGCAGTTCGGGTGCATGCAGATTGTAGGGCCGAAGACGCATCCTCTTTTACGCGCGCACGCTCATCATCAAACTTGTTGCCGAGCCTGTAATCTTGATAGCTCGCCGATTTTTGTGGTATGCTTTCCGTGGTAATGTGCTGTTCGTTGGTAGATCGACGAAGCCTGGAATGCAGCAACAGCAAACTATCTTGCACTGAGGTGGCCTCGGGTCGCTTGCAAGGCGTGGGGTCTGGAAATGATGCTGCATAGTGCACTGATCGTAGTGTGGCATCCTCCGACATCAACACAAGCGCGCGTTCAAAACTCGCGTATAGCGGAGATAGGCGTTGTTTATGGAAACAGGCTGTCGTGCACTGTTGGAAATGCGCAGCATACTGATCCGACAATTGCTGCTCGCCACAAAAGCAGCAATACAACGTTGTCTGGTGCTCCATGCTCAAAAGCGTAGAGCCTGACCCAGGTAGATGATCCTCAAAGGACTGTTCCAGCACCGAGCTATGCGGATCCGCCAACTGTTCAGTCGCTGCAGCGGCCATTTGAGGCTGGCTCGTGCTCGCATCATACTGATTTGGCCTATAGAAAGCACCAGCAGAAGTCTCGTCAGCACCATCATGCTGTTCTATCAACAGCCTTTTTCTAGCAGCACGTACTTTTTCCACAATGACTCACGCGTAAATCGATTGTAGCAGTACACGTGGCCTTTTGCCGTGTAAGCTTCTTGCCAATCTTCCTTCAGAGCTAGCTGCCTCTTATCATCCCTATCACCGGTCATATTCGTTTCCATTTCCACCATTTTTCCGCTTTTCTTGTCACTTTCCTCCTTCTCCTTCTCCGCCTCTTCTTCCCGATTCTCTTCTTTTTTCGAGCCCATCAATCCGTCCATCGACCTTGAATAAGTCTTAACCGGCTCTTCTTGAGCACCTAACATCCAATTTTCCTCCACCACTTCATTATCAAACGCCGTGAAGTGTCCAGCCGATGCTCTCGTTCTCCACTCCCTATTCTCCAGCTCTTCTTCACTATCACCGTCTCCATCGTCCTCTAGAAGCCGCAACGCCTCCCTAACACGTGCCTCTACATCTGCTTCTTCTTCCTCCATTGATTTTCTGCAAGTGACATCTCTGTGCCGTCCCGTAGTGAGTGAGGGTCTCAGACTACCATCGTCCACTTCCTCTTCTCTCTTTTGAGACGCCGTAACGGACCTATTACATCGGTACAGATCTTCTTCTTCCTCGTGTGCGTTTCTTATCAAGTCAGCAACAGGATCCATTAAACGTGATAGCTCTACCGACTCTATAGCGTGAGAAATAGATGCAGACAGTGACGCAGTGCGGGTGCCGGGACACTTTGGCACCGACGTGTGGAATCGAGTGACGCTTTGTTTATAGTGGAACGTGATTGGATAAAAGGCTCATTTGCATGAACATTTCATAAAAACAGCAACATGCGAAAATGTCTAGAGGCCGTGAGTTTACCAAACAAAGTGCTTTTTAAGCCTCGCCTTACGAGATCAAGTTTGTTCGTCTCGGTCATTGCAAAAGCCACGGGACGGAATAGCACCTCAACAGGGTGATGGAAATTCAAGAACATCGCTAAGAGCAAATCGATTGTTTAGGCCTACATCCGGCCTGGAAATCACCAGATGATCATATTGAGAGTAAGTCGCACTGTGTTACGTGGTGCATCTCAACGATCGCTGGCTGGAAACCACCACAACTCTAATCGATACTGATTGAAAGGCTGTAATACATCTTCTGTGCATTTTGTGAGCTACTCTACAGCTCCTTAATCGCTTTATGTATAATGCTGTCACCATCACCCTGTTTTGATGCCTTTTGTTGTTTGCGGTTATTGTTCAGGGGTTACACATCGTAGGGTACTCGGTACCCTGTGCCGTAGACACACGGCATGGTATCCCACTGAAAGAGATGTAGATTGTCTTATCGGCTTATAGGGGCGACGGGTGTCACAAGATAGGAAAGATCTTTAAAATGTTAAGTTAGGTAGGACAGATGCGCCTAGATTAGGTAATACTAGGATCAATATAGTTAATAGAATTGCATGCAAATAAAGCGCAGTTCCCCTTTTGATTTTGTCCAAGACACGTGCCTTGCGAGGCGCCTCTGATCGTAATTCGTTAAAATTAGCAACAACTCCTTGAGGTAGCTAATATTGAGCACTAAGCGCTGTAGATTCACTGTATCGTTCGGTCCCTTGGAACAGGGACCATAAGATTTGCGCTAGTTGACTCATACGGTCTAATTTCTGAAACTAATATCGCTCTTTGAGCACTAAGTCTTGCTCTGACTTAAGGAGCTGTGTAGCTCCGCTACAGTTATAACACATAAAAAAATAGTTAGTGCAGATATGCGAATAAGTAACTAGGCGTTTTCGAAATGCACAAGATGTATGAGCTAGGCGGTAAAGGCTGGTTTCATTGGGAGAATCTACAAGCTGTAAGCGCGAAGACATGTGCCTATACTGCCTGTAAAACGTGCCTTGGTCTGACTACTTAAAAACCGGCACCAAATCAAATTCTTTCGAAAGTATTAGATGCTGGTGGGCCGACACCTGTTGTAGGCCGCCCGATTTGCAGTGACAAGCTGCTTGTAGCAACACCGTACGACAACACTACTTTGCGAAGACGGAAAACTGATAGCTTAGCTTCAAATTTGAAAAGTAAAATGTCACGGGGTGATCCTGTTACATTTACTTAACAATTAATACTTGTGAACTATAGTATTATCATAGAGGTTAATAATGTTCACGAATCTCACTAAAAGGGTTGATATTCAGAAACACTCACCTATTGGCTGATATGGGTCGTCATATCAGTCAACTCTAGCAATCCAAGAAGTGATGAAAGTGCGCAATGAGTGGTGAGCAAGAGTTCAGCATACACTTTTGCAGGTAGATATATTAAGCTAGGACGAATACATTGGATAATGACTAGTAGTTGCTGATACTCAATTTAGGTTTTACTTTCTACTTCCATTGACCAAAACGTTCAATATCTAGCCTTCCTGTGCACGTACGGTGTACGTGAAGCGGTGCGTGGCATTATTTACACTGTGTCAGTGTAAGTTGACTCGTACTGTGCATGTATAAGTCACCAGTGTCCTATTACTTAAAAACCATTGTGTCAGGATTTCCGGTGACGCGTAAGGCAAACTTATCGAGACAGCAGGTATGCATCTGTAGGACGTGGCTGCAACAGCATCTCAAGTCACCAGTGCCCTATTACATAAATAACCATTGTGTAAGAAGATCCGGTGACATCACAAGTCACCAGTGCCCTGTTACATAAATAACCATTGTGTCAGAATTTTCGGTGACGTGTAAGACGAATTTATCGAGACAGCAGGTATTCATCTGTCGGACGTGGCTGCGACAACATCGCTTCGTTCGTATTTGGGTTCAGACTTCCGATTGCATTTTCCAGAACAGCTTCATGTTTGAGAACTCACAACTAGGCGAGTAAAATTGCAGGTACATTTATTTGCAGGAAATCGCGGTTGCACTGACACCTACAGTGCTGCACCTACATCAATTAGTTGACTTCTTTGGGTATTAAATAGTGTACGTAAATTGTATTTGATACTAGATTGTGTTTGCAAGAAATATTTCTACCTAGCACACTACGCCGCGTCCTTCATCTGCAGCTTTGGTACGATTAGAGTGAAAGCGGTTTCTAGCGCGCTGCAGGTCTTCCATGTATTTAGACTCTCTGATCAATTTTTGGCCGAACCTTCGCCCTTTGGAGCACACGACCCCACATCCTCCTGGTCCGATAATGGGAGGCAAACCAATGAACAATTGAGTTGGTCACGCACCACGAGCAGTTGCGTTATTGAGTACCCCGTCAGACAGTTTTTTCAGGTGATTATAGCTTTTGACAAGCAATCCAGCACCTACAAAGCATGACAGAAAACATGAATGCTTTGCTCATGAGTTTACTGCAACCCAAGTAAAGCCCATGAGTTTTTTCTTGCTGTCATATCATTACGAATACGGCATCTTCATCTTACTTAGGTAGCAACAAGACGATGCTTACATCATGTGCACTGGAATTAAGAGCGGTCATTTTAAGGCATTGATGTAGTGATTTTACATCGCGGCAGACTCTTTAGCATCTTACCGAACGACCACTACTACTGTAATTCGTAACTCAGTCAGATTGACAGTTTCACCTGCAATGTATACACTATGTAAAAGATGCAATGGATTTTTGCCGGACACATGCAAATAAAAGGCTGATTTAAACTCGTAATCCTAAATGACTGCAAGAGAGTTTGTTTGATCGAGGGATCTGTAATGCGGCCGTGTTATTGATCGCCCACTTGTCGATTTTTTATGCTCGGTCAAAACATCTCCTGACGAGAAAAACGTCTACAGCTAAGGTCGTGGACTTTTAACTTAACTTAAAGGCGTCTTGGTTGGAACGTATTATACCTGATGCAAGTGAACACGTTGATTCATCCACTCATGTTTCATCATGAGTTGCAAACTATTATCAGTGCGATTCACACGGACTGTGAGAACGCAAGTCGGTGCTTTTTGCATTCGAGGACTAATGCACGGTCAAGTCAGTGGGATATTTCAGCTGGAATGAGTCTCAAGGTGGCCTTCTTTCGATGAGGCGAGCTCTTGTAATGATGTTATCGACTTGCCAGTTGCACTATATTCCGGTGCATTGAGGTGTATGTACAACTGATATACATCTATATGGGGGTGAGGAATAAGCGCTCGGCATTCGCTAAATTCCTGCTGAGGTCTTATTTCTCTAATGTAGTGCACACCAAACTATAACCTGTAACTTTTTTGGCGGCCAAATTTGAAAAATTATTTGCCGTGCCCCGCAACCGAAAACGCCTTTTACAACACTGTCGTCGCACTGCACACACAAACATGTCTTTTGCACGTACCCACCACCAATCGACGTACTAAACCATTCAAAAATCGAAAGATATCCCCGCCCCAACAAACGGCAATGGCACTTGCAGCTTCTGAGGTCTGTTCTGGAAGAGAAGGGGGCTGAAGCTAGGCAAGCAGAAGCCGCAGCCAATAGTGACAAAGTGGAAGACGGGCACGACGGAAACGGCGCTTAAGGGGTGTAAAGTGAGATTGAAGAGGTGGAATATGGACATAAAAGAATTCACAATCATGAGGCAGAAAGTCAAGAGGAAGAGGAAGGTGATAGTGACCTTGAATCAGAGGAGTTCGCGAGGGAATAAACGGCGGGTATCCTCGACAAAATTGAAGAGGTGGTCAAGGTTGCCTGCAGTAACCGATCTATGCGGTAAACTGGCAACGCCCCGAGAACCCAACTCTGTAAGAGTGCTGAACAGTGGAAGGCAGCAATTGGTTTGCGGTCGCTTCAAACGTACTTTTCTGTTGTGCCGGTGGAGACCCCGGCACAGGTTCACGCGTAACCTGCCAGTGGTGGCGACGAAAACTAATGGTCATCAGACGACGAAGAGCCGCTTTACTATATCAGCAATCCACTGAGGCAATCGACGGGCTTAGCAATGAAAATAAACCACAGTAAAAAGTTTTGTGCGTGCGCCTTGCTTCAGTTATAGGATATTCCAAAATTGTGCTCAGTGGATGTAAGGTTTGGTACAGCACTGTCTGCTCTGCATGAAATTGTTTTCCCGCAATTTTTTGTACCAGTTGCCTTTTAATTATCCAGAAAATTGTAGCGTCGCGCAAAATTGCTACGGTAGATGGCAAAGATCGTTAATTTGCCGTGATGCTTCGTGCTCAAGCACGGGAATACCTTATTACCGGCAAAATGCCTCAAAGCAAGCAAAGAAAACGCTTTGAGACCATCACCTTCTCAAGTACGCATATGTCAATGATGAGGTGCAACGCTGTCGCATCAACAATTCCACGTTGAACCAATCGATTTTATATGAAATGTCAGTGAAGGAATCCTTCCGAAGATTGATCCCGATGCCTCCATTCGTGTTAATACAGCCACTCGTTGGCTGAAAGCCATCGGCCTGCAATACTCGGAAGTGAGAAAGGGCACGTACGTTGATGAGCTCAAACGCGTAGACGTGTCCGCATATCAGCAAGAGTGTAACGGGGCACCCTGAAGCTTGTACTGGTAACAGTACAAGCTACTTATTCTGATGACAGAATAAGGCGGTGCCTCGTAACTTCACGTACACTCGTACGTGCAGAGGAAGACGGTAAGAAGAAGCGAGTACTTGGTTAAAGTAAAAGTAGAACTGTATTTATAATAGTTAATGTCTGCAATAAATCACTATTTATCTTCATCTAACTATGTCTAAATACAAATGTGTAAATCAGTTATCTGCTCACCACTCATTGCGTGCGTCTGTCGTGGCGCGTCTTCGTTGGTTGATATAATGACCTATATCAACCAATTAGGAACTACTTGTAAGTGCTACAGAATATTTGTCCTTATGACAATATTCTGAGAATATAACTCGTATAGTTATATTCTATTAACAATTTCTTATAAATTGTTATGTAACGATTCACCCCGTTACATCACCCCCCTTAACCATCAGTCACTTTAGTGACTGATTGACTAAATGGATACTCGTCCCAAATCATTTGGGACAGGGTTTGCACTTGTTGGTCCGCGTCCACTTTCCAACATCTCATCGCATGTTTAACAAGCCCATGCGATGCGCGAGCAAGGCCGCCGAGAGCGCGTCTGCACGTCTCTGTGCGGACGCCGAAGCAGAAACAACAGCAACTGATGTCCCATAGGTTGCTGAAGCGACTCAGCCTGTGTCACTTGGTGACGCAGGCGCTGGTCATGAAGACACTCGTGTCTTCATAGAGTACGAGCTCGGTGTCTCGTACTCTCCTGATACGGATGACGGATCCGTATCGACGGCGATTGAATCTAAGCCGCCAGCCAAGCGTGGCATGGACGATGCTTTGCGTCGCAGCATCTTTGGTTCATCTGATGAATCAGATGAACCATCGCCGAAGCGAAGGCGCTCGAGGTCGCGAGACTCGGGCGCTAATAGTGGTGTCAGTTCTCCAATGGACACCACTTCACAGCGAGGTGCCAGTACTTCTGTCGGCACGTCGCAGGAAGAGCGGGACCGCAATGTGTTGCGTCTCGCTCCAGAAAAGAAGGCATGGATGCCTCCGAAATCCGTCATGGATCACTTGTCGGCGACGACGAGTGATCGTTATCGAACACGATTGTTCGATTCGTCAAGGATCCATCACCTTGACCCCAGCGCGAAAAACTATCGCGCTGAACACGAATTCTTCATCGATGCTTTCTTCAGACATCGATGGTACAGTGGGAACCACAAGCGTGATGGTCCCTCACTACTTCAAGCGTGGAACGCCTACATCCATAACCTCGAGGATGTAGGTCGTGACGCTTGGAACGACAAACTTATCAAAGCTCGTGATAAGTTTGAAAAGCGAACCCCGACAGGTGCACGCTACAAGCTGCATCGTCTGTCAAGGGAGAAAGGATTACCCTGCCTCTCTTGGGGAGACTCGTGCCCATGTTGTGTGAACAACTCTGCGCGAGCACCTAAGGAGGCTTACCTCCTTACCAGCCCGTGGTGGCGCGTACGTGTCTCTACTGAGATGTACGAAGGGATTGACAACCTGAAATCCCTTTACGACCGTGCCGGGAAGACTTTCTCCGGCGGTCCTTCTGCGGCACAGGATGTGCCGCGTCGTACTGCTCAACCAGACCCAGCACGTCGATCATCAGTTGGGAGCAGGGCTCCCAAGAATCCCAGGACGGGGGATAGCCGCGCCACCGGACGAGATAACTCGTCCGACGTCCGTTCACGTCGCGGTGGTTCAACAGCTGCTCAACTAGATAGCGCTGGCCACCGCGAGAGTCCTCTAATGGAGGTGGAGGAGGAGGAAAGACGACTCTCCACACGATCATGTGGATCGGTGTGTTCCTGAGAGCTTCTTTGATCGCGTAACGCAAGGGTTACGCGACGATCTCGAGCATGAGCGGAATAGGCGTCTCCAAATGGTGGACACTGCCTCGAAGCATCGAGCTGAGTTTGCCTTTGCTCAGCTCGAGAACGAGAGATCTCTGACATCTCTTCGTGACGAGCTAAGGGTAGCTCGTGGGATTGTTGATCGGTCTCGGGCTGAGATAACTGCTCTTCAGACCCTTGTTGATGCCCACCATCGGGAGCACAAGGCTCTTTGCGAGATGCTTGAGCGCAAGGGCGTTCTTCATCGGAAGAAGCAGCGTACTGATGGTACGGCTTAAGCCGACCAACGTAAAACGTGGGATGCGTTCGCATCTTACGTGGTAACTCGATCGTGTATGCATTGCCTAGGCGGTGCAATACACGAAATGGGCCAATGTACTTGGGTAGTAGTTTACTGCTACCCAAGTTAGTCACTACATGCTTTGGTAGATTAACCGTAGACAGTAGGACTAAGTCACCTTTATTAAATAAAAGAGTGTTTGCCCTTCCATTCTTGTCAGCGTTTTGCTTTTGCTTATCCACCGCTTCGTCGATGGAGTCTTGCACAAAACGGACTACCGTTTCACGAGCCAGTATGAACTCATCTGATGACTCGTTAGCTTCAGTGTGCTGTGAGCGCACTGCAGCAACAACAACCTTTTCTTCAGTGAGGGCTTCCGCACTCTAACTGGGATCATTGTCTTCAGTGAGGGCCCGCACTCTCACTGGCATCATCTTCTTCGATATCGATGTTATCGATATCGGCATCAAACGCAATGACTTCTTCGTCAGAGCGTGATGAGCGTGAACCAAATCGGTTTTTGCTCGCGCGAGTCCCTCCCCCCCTTAAACCAGAGTTACACTCTAGTAAGGTGGGTACACGCGGATGGCGCAAGCCATTCACGTAAAACGGTGTATGTGTCGTGGACGCATGCACCGAGTTGTTGATGGCAAACTCTACCATAGGCAAAAACTCACTCCAACTCTTAAAGGAGTGTACGTATCCTCGAAGTATCTCTTCAAGGACACGATTGGCACGTTCCGTCTGACCATCTGACTCTGGATGATCAGATGTCGACATCTTCAAGCGCGTTCCGAGTGATTTGAACACGGAACGCCAGAAATCAGCAGTGAATCGTGGATCTCTGTCTGACACGAGTTCACGGGGCAACCCATGAAGTCGGAAGATGGTGTCAATAAAGACACAAGCACAGCCACTTGCCGTGATTGTCTCTGGTACAGCCACAAGGTGTACCATTTTGCTGAATCTGTCAACAAATACGAGAATACCCGTGTTCCCGCGTGCGTCTTTGGGTAACCCGAAGACGAAATCCATTGAGATGGATTCCCAGCACTCAGCCGGAACCGGTAGAGGCTGTAAAGGTGCACGCAGTGAAGGACTTGACTTCACTCGTTGACAGACTTCGCATGCGCGAACATACTTTCGCACAAACTGATACTGGCGGGGCCAGTAAAAGTCTCGACTTACCGTGAGATATGTTTTCTCTCGGCCACGATGTCCTCCTATAGGAGCATCGTGATACTCGAACATGATCCGCAAACGCAGATCAGTATCATTTGGAATGACAACACGTGGTGTGTCACTAGAAAAAGCTGTATAGTACAGTAAATCGTTACGAGTAGTGTATCGATCTGATGCAGATCGATACGCAGGCGACAATCGTTTCAACGATTCTCGGGATGGTTGGGAGAGATGTGTCAACAACTTCACTATCTCACCATCTTGGGCGTATGCCCGCCTCACATCATCATACAACGTTGTAGATGGGACTGAGGACGTCATAACCGCAACAGTGACTGTCTCACTGTTGGGTTTCGCGACTGTTTCAAAGTCGGGACGACGTGAGAGTGCATCAGCGACGACATTAAGTCGTCCTGGTTTGTACTCAACCGTAAAGTTGTATTCCGCAAAGAATGACAACCACCGCGCCATTCGTTGTGAAAGGTGCGGGCTGTTCACTGCCGTGCGTAATGACGCATGGTCAGTGTAAACAATGAAGGGTCTATCTCCTAATAGATAGACTCTGAACTTCGCGAGTGCATACTTCATGGCAAGGAGTTCCTTGTCATGCACTGGATAGTTCCGCTCAGCTGGTTGCAGCTGACGCGACTGATAGCAGACGACGCGTTCAACGCCTTCGAGATCGTACTGCATTAATGCACAGCCGATTGCGAAATCGCTGGCATCACAGACCACATGAAATGGCCTGTCTTGATCGGCTATTGCTAGGACTGGGGATTGTATCAAGCTCTGCTTGATACCCTCAAAGGAGCGTTGACATTCAGCGTTCCATAACCACCTCTCGTTCTTTTTCAACAAACGAGAGAGGTGCACAGTCATCTCGGCGTAATTGCGTGAATACTTATGCAAATACGCCGCTAGCTCAAGGAATTTTCGAAGACCTTTGACATCGACCGGCACAGGCCAGTCGGTGATCGCCTTGATCTTTTTGGGATCAGGACGTACACCGTTCTTACCAACGATGCACCCAAGAAGTGGTATTTCGCTTGCCGCAAATATACACTTCTTGAGGTTAGCATACAATTGATGCTTTCGCATGATTGTAAGAACTTGTCGGACGTGGTACCTGTGAACCTCAACGTCCGACTTTCCATCCATAGCTCGACTATGGATGAATACGTCATCGAAATAACTCGGCGCGAATTCTCGTACTGGTCTCAACAGATGTGATACACATCTGTTGAACGTGGCAGGGGCATTACTAAGCCCTTGTGGCATTACTAGCCATTCCCAGAGCATGCCGCTAGGCGTGCTAACTGCGGTATAGGGTATATCCCGTTCTCGCATAAGGATTTGATAGAAGCCATCCATCAAATCCATGGACGAAAAGATGGTACTCTTTGACATACCATCAATGATTACGTCCTTCCTCGGTATCGGCGTCTGAGCCGGTACCGTTGCAGCATTCAACTTATTGAATGCATGCACTATCCGCCACCCTCCTGTTGCTTTTCGCACACAGAAGATCGGAGAGCTATGTGGGGAAGTTGATTCCCTCACATGGCCCGCAGCTAAACGATCGGCAAATAACTTGTCGATCGCAAGTACTTGTTCACGAGGCAGTGGCCACTGCTTCATGACACAGTACTTCGAGCCTGGTTTAAGCTCGACTTCGTGTCGAATACCTTTATCCTTCGGTAATTCGCACGGAACAGTTTCAGGGAATACATCCTTGAATTCAACCAAATCTTCATAGAGAGGATTTTTCTTGAGCGAGTCCCATGATTGGGAGTCATATCGCTCAATTCGTGTCTTTTCATCTAGGACACTCTCGTCCATAGATGAACTACTGAGAACTCTCTCGTTCTCAGTAAACACTGTTGCTGACCTTATGTCGGTTACACACTCGTCGTCAGCGACGAGTATGCAGATCTGCTTGACTTTGCCACTACGCAGATCACGCAAGAACCTTTTATGTTCGAGCGTTGGCAACTGAGTGATCTCCGAATTTAACTTCGGAGGCGCAATCAGATCAAGTGTATAAGAGCCTACACTTGATCCGTTATTGACTATGACATTCAATGTCTCTGTCATTTCCTGGGGACTTATTCCCTCAGGCTTCGAAGGACTTATTCCTTCGTCTTCCCGGGGACTTATTCCCGCGGGTTTCGGGGAACTTATTTCCGCCGTATTTGTGATCTTGGGACTTATTCCCTTTACTTCCTCTAGCTGGGGTTGCGCAACCACAGCGAGATCCTCTACGAAAGACTCTCCAGTCGATCTAGGATTATCGTTTCGCTTAACCTGAGCGATCGATTGTTTCTCTTCTAGATGTTCCCCGCTAGGGATACATCTTTGTCCCAGTCCACCCGACTTATTCGAGTGGTGGACCTTCGGCGCAGCCTGTGTTTCCCTCACAGCCGCCGGAACTTTGCTCCGAAGTGTAACCGTTTGGTACACTAAGGTTTTGTGCAGTCGTACTAACGACCGTACCACAAGTGAGGCCATCGCACTCACTCGTAGTACATCCACACGCTTGTGGACGCTCCAAAACGTTCATCAGATGGCCATCCAATGAACAAGCGGCAGGCATCGTTACTGTCCGATGTTGCCAGTTTACCCGTGGTTCGTACCTTCTGAGCCACGGTATTCCAAGGATGACATCAAATTTGTCATCCAAATCCAATACGATAAAGTCATCGTCATATTGGGTATCTTCTAGCGTATAGTGGATCTTCACTATACACTTCATGACGGTTACGGATGCGCCTGTCGCAAGACGTACCGTCATCCTCGTAGGAGGTGTGTCACATTCACTGAATTTAAAGTGACCATCTTCTAGCGATTGGCGTCGCACAAAATTGTTGGACGCCCCACAATCGACTAGAGCTCGAAGGGACAACTTATTTGTCACTTCGAGTTTCAAGGTAATGAGTGAGTCCTCATTACCTAGAGCAGCAACGCACAACGTTTTTGCGTTGGGAGCAACCTTCATCAAGAGGCCTACAAATTCTCTTGACGTTGCTGGACCAGTAGGGTGCTCCGCACCTACTGATCCTGTCCGTTTTTTGACGGTCCATCCCGTTGTTGCGTCTTTGCACCAACTGCGGACCCTCGTCCCTGCCCCTTTCTCATGGGTGGACGGTCACTACGCCCAGTGTTGCAAGACACTGGACGAGGGGCACTACACTCGTAAGCGTAGTGTCCTGTCTTTTGACATCTGTTGCATCTCTGCAACTTCTTGTAGCCTGTAGAGCGAGCCTTCTCGCTCTCTACATAACAGAGTTCCATCGGCTCTGGACCTCCGCTGTCATATCGTCTCGGTTGACGATATGATGTCGAGCTGGCGCGAGCCTGTCTCAGACTGAAGTCTTCCTGCTCCGCAATGGAAATGGCTTGTTCTAGTGAATCTAGTTCAAGCCGGAACAGGTGAGTCTTGACGGGACCATCCGCAAGACCCTGCATGAACACCGAAACCAACGTGTGTTCATCCACCGGATTGGAACTTATACAACTCGTAAGATGTCGTATATGTTGGGCGTAAGCGTGCACATCACGCTTACCCTGTTTGAGCTTCAAGAGTTCGGTTCGAGCCCTGAACTCAGCTCTAGGCGGTTCAAACGTTTGTCTGAGCCGCGACTTGAAGACTTCCAACGACCCAAACGCATATGGGTCGTGCAACTTGAGCCCCAGTGCCCAAGTCTTGGCACGTCCTGCCAGATTTGACTGGGCAAATGCAACTTGCATATCCCCGTCGTCGATGCGACGCGCCCTTATGGCGTCATCCAATTCGACGAACCATCTCAAGAGGGAGTCTTCTTCGACCCCCTATACTTTGAGATGTCAATCTTCAAAGTCTCGGGTCGACGCGAGTGCATCGACCCGCCAGCAGCAGCCTGCTGCTGTCTCAACAGTTCAAACTGTTGAGCACCTTGTTCTCTCAACAACTCTGCTTGTTGAGAACCTTGTTGGTGAAGCAAGGCTACTTTCTCGCGTTCAGCGTCAAGTTCATTTTGAATGAACTTGGCGATAGTAGCATGTTGGGCATCTCTATTGAGAGCCTCTAGCATGACGCTAACAGCATGGATGCCCATGGTCGAACCCATTCGTTCAACCGCATCCCATTCGACATCGCTCAAATGGGAGTAGCCGTCACGCGTAGCGTGAAAGCTTTGGTCATCTTCATCATCCAACATATTCATGTTGGATGTGAACGCGGTCCTTGGACGGACTACGAAGTGCTACCAGGTGTAACGGGGCACCCTGAAGCTTGTACTGGTGACAGTACAAGCTACTTATTCTGATGACAGAATAAGGCGGTGCCTCGTAACTTCACGTACACTCGTACGTGCAGAGGAAGACGGTAAGAAGAAGCGAGTACTTGGTTAAAGTAAAAAGTAGAACTGTATTTATAATAGTTAATGTCTGCAATAAATCACTATTTATCTTCATCTAACTATGTCTAAATACAAATGTGTAAATCAGTTATCTGCTCACCACTCATTGCGTGCGTCTGTCGTGGCGCGTCTTCGTTGGTTGATATAATGGCCTATATCAACCAATTAGGAACTACTTGTAAGTGCTACAGAATATTTGTCCTTATGACAATATTCTGAGAATATAACTCTTATAGTTATATTCTATTAACAATTTCGTATAAATTGTTATGTAACGATTCACCCCGTTACAAAGAGTTTCTGCGTCGAATGTAAGATTTCGATCCCTTCATGCCTAAGCTTGAAGGGTTTAGGATGGATGTTGCGGTGTGGCCAGAAGGCGAAGCGGTAATCCTATTCACGCACGATGAAAGCACGTTTGCTGCACACGACGGAAAAAAGTGTGGCTTCCTGAAA